ATTTCGAGCACCCCAAACAAGTACCGAAACTCGAGGGTTCTCACGTGTCGGGCCCTGGGAGACACTCATCCGACACTGTTTCGACACTTTTCCGGATGCTCGAAATTCTTTCTGGGATGTGGTCCTTAAGTACGACGGGAGCAACATAAGCAAAGACCGCACCCTGGAAGACGCCAATCGAGTATTTAGCTGGATCGATACATCGTTATTTCCTTTTCACGTGTCCGACAACTTCTGGCAGGAACGGGTTGTGAGTGTGTTTTCCTTTCTGGAGAGGGTGTGCCGCGCTCGATGGGGTAAAGACACGTGTTGCCACGCTTGCGACTCGGGGAACGCCCGCGGGCTTCCCCGGAACGCTGGCACAATCCAAAGGAGGGGGGTTTTCTTCTTCGCGCTGGCTCTCCGCATACTGGGAGAAGAACTGGAACGCAGGACTGGAATACGACCTGGTGCGTCAAGCTTGTCCCGCGTGCCCTGTCGTCAAAGGTTGCGAAGGGATGCAACGTACAGGCACTCCAGCCTTTGAAGCACGAAACGACCCACGAAGGTCAGGTTGCACTAGGTATGCGAGCACGCCACGTTCATACCCCATACTCCAGTGTTCCAGTGAGAAACACGGCCAGTTTACAGTAACCTCGCGTTGCGACGGGGGTGGGCGGCGGCGGGGACGGCCCAATCGGCTTGCTCAATAGAACACCTCAGTTCCCAAAGATACAAGCATACAGCGTTGGTACGCTCCAGCCTGCGAATCGCCAGAATGAGATCCGCAGCAGTTGGAGCAAGCGCGGACGACGCTCACCAGAAGGTTGACGCCGACGAGATGGTACGCTAAGGAAGGGAACCCATACTCATAGACATAAGCTTTCGAAAGTCCGCGCGGCCTTCGCGCTGGACTCAATGGCCCATGGCTGTTCCTGAGGCGCCGCCGCTGGCGCTTTCCCCTCACCAGATCCTCGAAATCCGCGCCGACCTCCGAAAGCTGGTGTTTGTGCAGGTGCGTCTTTTCTGGCTGCAATCTTCGGACCCTCCGAGGCCGACTCCGACGCGAGCTCCGTTGACGCCGACGCTGCGGTGGACGACGACCCCAGGCAGCCGACCGCGTCCAGCGTCGAAGGAGCGGCCGAGCAGGCAGCGAGCGGGGATGCAGCCGCAGGAGTGATTGCCAACGTGGCTGCTTTGTCAGCGGGTCGGCGGGCGTGATGCGACGTCGTGCAAGTCGATCGACATGAGCACACAAGATGGAGACGCGGGCGGACACCAGCTTCTGTGCCTCTGGGCCCAGCTCGCTGTGGGTGTCGGCGCGGACGCTGACCGCTTGAGGCAAGAAGTCGCCTGCCCAACAGCGGCCGCTGCCGGTAATGGGACCACGCATCCGCCGTTGGGGTAAGGAACCCACCTGCTGGAATGCACTTCTATCCGAGGCGGGGATTCATACATAACCGCCGCCTGGAGGATCGATTTCGGAGACCTCGACAGGCGGTGGATATGGATCTATTTGAGCCCCCAGGGCCCAACACATTTTCACATCCAGAGCCCGCTGGGGCACCAGGACGTCGTGCCTCAGGAGGTGGATATGGCGAAATCCCCACTTCGGATTCTAGGGGCTCATAGATTCAAGTCGGGCCCGTCCCTCGACAGGAGGAGTATTCAAAAATGGTAAGAAAAAATAGTCCGGGGACGATGTGTGGACCATGTTTTGCATCTTTTGGGGTGTTTTTGGGCTGCTTTGAAATTGTCGCCCAGGATCCCCCTGTAAGGGGGACAGGCCCGACCCAATCATGGAGGTGGTTTCCTCCTGGGGCGAAGGATTGCAAAAAAACCCTGGATTGCAAAAAAAACCCTGGGTTGTTTTGCAGTCCTTCGTTTTTTTGCAATCCTTCGTTTTTTTGCAATCCTTCGTTTTTTTTGCAAAACCCATGGTTTTTTTTGCAATCCTTGGTTTTTTTTGTAATCCTTCGTTTTTTTGCAATCCTTCGTTCATGGGGTGCGCCAGGGTGTCGGCCAGTTGCCGGCGTGGCTGGGCGGGCGCCCCGTGGGCGCCTCGGCGCCGCGCCGCCGCCCCGCGCGGAGGGGAGGGGCACGCCGAGGTGTGGCCGGGTGCCCTGCTGCCCTTGGCATCGCTCGGACGTGTGCACGTTTCCCTCGGCGACTACTGCCCTACTGCCCTACTGCCCGACTGCGCATGGCGTCCTGCTTGCCTCCAGGGTGCCCTGGGTTTTCTTGGGTTCCGAGGGTTCTGCCATGGAGCAAGCGTGACGTTCCCGCGCCAAACCTCGATGGACGTCCTGGGGTATCCTTGGCACCGCTCGGACGTGTGCATTTTTCCTTGGGCGAGGACCATCGAGGAGCATCCTCGATCATCTGGCGGAAAAAACCACGCACGAAAACCAAACAAAACACAGGGAAGGGACGTCGGAGCGATGGCCAGTATCAGGGCTGGGTTTCCTGTGGAAGGCTCCCCCTGTGGTCGGGCCCCTCTTGTGCACCCCCCGGACCCGCGGGCTCTCTCGGAGCTGCCCGACCTTCCTCTTTACGGATGGGTCCTCCCGTCTTCGCCTTGTCCGCGAGGGCGCCGGCGGTGTGCGGCGGCCTGCCGCCAGCCGGCGGCGTCCGGTGGCGGAGGGTCGCAGGCGCACTCAGTACCACAAGGCCTTCCGATCTGCAGTGGGGGCCCATGCCAAGAAACACCCTGCTTGCCTCCAGCGTGCCCTGGGTTGCTCGGGCGTCGATGGTTTTTCAGTGGGAATCGTGACGCTCCCCCACCGAAACATCCATGGGCGTGCTGGGGTCTCAGGGTGTTGTGGTTTCTCGTGGCAGGTTTCTTGTGGACTGGTCTCCACTGCATCTGATTGGAAATCGATTCTTACCGACTCGGTCGCATTAGATTCATGGCGATTCGATGTGGCCCGATGCGTGCACGGCGCCGCTGTGCATCTTGGCGCGGCCGATCCGTGAGCCGATTCGGAGTCGATGCCGCGGCCCGGTCCGACGCACGTCCCGATTCGGTCCGCTGCCCCGTTTCGGTGCCGTCTGATCCTGCGCACGCATCGCTACAACGTTTCATCGGCGTCACCCCAACATACTGATACTATATGTGCGTCGCCCCCCCCAGGGGCGACGCGCGCACCGAGGAACCTTCTAGTATATGCGTCGTGGCGGGCGCTTTCTGGCCACGCCGCTCGGGAAACGATATACTACAAGATGGGTATACCATATGTTCGGGTCGGACGCGCGCCTCCAAGGAGGACGTGTAGTATTAGTATGTCTTTGCGCGTCCCATTTAATGGTTAAGTGGCATGGCTTGTTTTGAGAATCCTGCGGGTAATTTTGTCAAGGACGGATCACTGAAATCCTGATTGGGGGTTTCTTGATGATGCCTCATTGTTCCCGCTCCTGAGGACTGCGTGGGATGGCGGTGTCCTTCCAGAGGATCCGCGCCTCTCTCGGGGGCAGGTTGACTCGGGGCCAGGAGGCATCACATTGACAGGAGTGCGCATCCGCCCAGACCAGCGACAGGCAGCATGGGTTTGCGCCAACAGAGGCTTGATTGAATGCTTTCGAAGAGGAGCTCGATTATGCAATGAGCGATGCCAGCTGGGGCAACCCAAGAGTGGAGAGGCGCTGTGTTTACATGAGGGTCCTGGGTCTGGGGATCTTTGCAATGTTAGCTCGGCAGCGCTCATCACCAGCTTGTGAAAGGCCGCGGGCAAGGGTTCGTAACCCCAAAGGTGCCTCACTCAGAAACACGAGTTCACCCCTTCGAGAAGTGCACGGAAGTTCCCTCGGACCAGGGGGCCCATCGACGCACCCGTGGGATCTTCAGGTCATGCCTTCCTGACGGAGTCAAAGGGCAAGCAGACGATGATGGCATCACAAGCTGGACGAACACGTCTGACCTTCGTACAGCCGTTGTTTGGAATTGTGTCTGTTCGTGTCTCGGCACGCGCCCGTTTGTTTGTGTTTCGGCATCTCTGGGTGAGTGTCATGACCCGGAGGCATGGTAGCGCATGCGCGCGGGTATCAGTGCGTGTATGTGTGCATGCGCGTGCTGCATATGTTATCGATCGCGAGGCGCCCTTGCGATTGGCACTGCCCACCGGCCAAACCATAGCATTCGTGCCCACGCCCTTGCCCGATCTGGGCGCTGGCCGAGCAGCCGTCGAGATTTGCGCCGCTATCTCCAAGGGAAGAAACACCACCCGGGCCTGATAACTGGCGTTTGCTAAAACGGCCCTGGGCGTTTCCTAGACAGCCTTGCCCTGCTCGATTCCTTCCTGGGGTGCGCTTCCGAAAAACGGCCTCGCTGGTCGGGGTGGCTCTTATGGGGGGTGGATTTTTGTTGCCCTCTGTATCGGAGCGGAGGATGGGCCTGGGAGACATCTGGCGGGACCTCGCCGTGCAGTTTGCCGTGGACCAGCTGGCCAGCACCGTCGAGGATTGCCCGGCGGGGAAATCGTGGGGGGTGTGGTCTGCGGGGCCGGCCTGGTTGCGCCTGGCTGCCTGCACGGGGTTGGACCTTCATCGTTCCTCTTCTCCCTCCTGTCCCGCCCCTCGCATCCTGATCCTCCTACTCAGCCTCCTCCTCCTCCTCCTCCTCCTCCTCCTCCTCCTCCTCCTCCTCCTCCTCATCATCATCATCATCATCATCATCATCATGAGCAGCAGCAGCAGCAGCAGCTTAATCATCATCACCATCATAATCATCACCATCATCATCATCATCATCATCAGCATCATCATCATCATCATCACCACCATCATAATCATCACCATCATCAGCAGCATCAGCAGCATCATGATAAACAACATCAACACCAACATCAACGGCATCGGCGTTATCATCATCAGCATCACCAGCATCATCAGCATCAGCATCATCAGCAGCAGCATCAGCATCACCATCACCATTGGCATCAGCATCATCAACAACAAAATTATGGTCACCATCTTTTCCTCGGCCCTCATCCTCGGCCGCTTCTCTCTTCCATTCTGGAGGTAGCCACCTAGGCCGGGGCCGCTTCCCCCCTCAGGGAAACTCACGGTGGTGTTTGCTGCGTTGGGCGCGGAAGCGTTGTGTTTGCGTTGGGCACGGAAGTGCAGTGCTGGGCGCGGAAGCGCGGATCACATAGCCGCTGCAGCGAGGGCAACGCACCAGGAAACACATTGTGGGGAAGACGTGGAGGAGGCTGAGGAGCAGGAGTGGGAAGGAGAGAGGACGGAGGAACACGGGCATGAGGAGGGAATTTGGAGGATGGAGGAGGAGAGAAGAGGCGTAGGAGACGGGTAGAGAAGGAGAAGGGGGCAGGATAGAAAAGAGGAGGGAGAGGCGGAGGAGGAGGAGGAGGAGGAGGAGGAGGAGGAGGAGAAGTGCGCACGCAGCCTGGGCAGCACCAGTTCCGTGTAGGTGATTGGTCCAGCCAGATGTGGGGGGCTATTTTCATTAGTGCGCCCCTTTTTGTCGCATCAGGGAGCCTCCTTCTGATGTCGTTCGCCCGACAGCTTCCTACCCTCTGGGGCAGGTAATCATGTTTTGGGTTATTCTTTGGCCATACTAATATTCTAGACGCTCCGCGTAACCACACCATTTACGGGGCTTTGGTGTGCGACTTCGGTGGCGCCACCACCCGCATTTGCTGGACCAAGGTGGGCATCCCGGGCAGTCCGTACACCGGTTTGCCGTCACCCTGATCACATCTTGGTGTTATTGCGCGCCATTTTGGCTGCGCTCCAGCTTCGGTTGGCCAATTCACGCGCACTCAATTCGTCTACTCGGTTGTTCAGGCCTCCACTGTTCAGGCCTCCACGGTTCAGGCCACTTTGGCAGGCTCTGCAGTCCGCAGCGGTTGATTAATTCTCTGCAGTTCAATTCACACCCGGCAGCCTGCAGCTTCTGGCAGTCAGCAGCCCCTGGCAGTCTGCAGCCCGTTTGCACGTTGCCGCACGGTGCACGTTTGCAGCCCCTGGCAGTCAGCAGCCCACAGCCCCCCTCTCTCGGCTTCTTCCTGGTCCTGGGCTGAGGCTCGGCGGTAGGCCTGCTCGCGCTAGGTAGTTTAGGCCCTCGCGCGGCCCGCTCGGACCTTACACGCCGTCGGCGCGCTCGCCTGCGGCTGGCTACAAAAAATAACCACACCATTTGTTTTTAACTTCGCTACCTGCGCGGCCCGCCGTAGCAGGCGCTCGGCGTTCGACTCGTGTCGCGCGCCCGCGGACCAACAGTAACCACACCATCCCATTTAGAAACGAGGCCCAGGCGAGTTGTCCTGATCAGGGATGTGGAGGAGCATGCAGTTGAATGAAGGACTGGGGAAGCAGTCATATCCCAAGAGGGGGAAGATGGAGAAGGAATCGGAGGAATGGGAGGGGGATGAGGAGGAGGGAGAAGGAGGACTAGGTGGATGAGGAAGAGGCAGAGGCGGAAGAGGAGGCGGAGGAGGAGGAGGAGCAGGATGGGGAGAGCGATCAGAAAGGCCAGCGGCCTCTTGAATGTTTCTCGGAGTCTCTTCGGATGTCTCCTGATAGCGTCTTGGAGGCCTCTTGGGGGTCTCTTGGCGGTCCCGTCGGCATCTTGGAGCGTCTTGGGTGCCTCGGGGGAGCTTCTTGGGGCCTCTTGGAGGTCTCTTGGGAGCCTCCTGCCAGCCTCTTGGGGGCCTCCTGGGCGCCCCTTGGGGCCCTCTTGGGCCCTCTTGGGGGCCTTGGCGGCTATCTTGGGGCCATGTTGGAGGAGTTCGACAGAAGACGGGGCGGGTCTTAATTATGTCCCCCCCAGGAGGCCAACATGGGCCCAGCACCTACGTAACATCACTGATGCTAGCTTTTTCGTCGAGGCCACCTTGGACGCCCGACCGGCGAGCCCCCCCCCACCCAACCCCCACTCCCCAGCCCAGGTCCAGGAGGAGGGGGCCGGGGGAGGGGTACACCCCTCCCCCCCTGGATGGGAAGAAGGGGGGGGTGGAAGAGGAAGCGATTTCAATCACTCGCGACCGGAGGGCTGGTGGGATGAACACCGTGGCAATCAGCCTCCTCTGGCCCTAAAGGGCAGGGCAATGCGGCAATACTCGCGATGGGGCACCGTGGTCCTCGGCTAACGCGTGCAAAACTGGGAGGGTCCGCTCCGCTTGCGTTGAACGCGTTTTGACCACGTGCTAAGAATCGTCCAGCCTACTCATTGGGGGGCGACGCGTCTCAAATGTGGTCGGATGCTGCCCGCTTCTGCTGAGCGATCCCCACGGCTGCAGCCACCACCACCACCCTCCCGACAAAAGCTCGTGCCAGACGTGGGTCTGGGGTCACGTGGCCCTCTTCCCCCTGTTCCAACCAATGTTGGCGGGGGGGGCCGCAGAGCGCACGTCCTCGAGCCAACTTTGGTTGGAGGCTGGCGGCGGGGCGAGTCGGACTGAATATTCCCATCACGCTTCATTTGGTTCCAGCCATCCTGTGGTGTTGGGTCTCCGTTTTGAAGATAGAGAGAGGGAGAGAGAGAGAGAGACAAAAAGAAAGAATGAGAGAGAGCGCCGCGCGTCACTTTCTCTACTCTCCTCCTCCGCCCCCTCCTCCCCACATCTTTACCTCCCTCTCCGTATCGGCCAACCAGTTCGGCACACCCCTCGCACGCTGGCCCCAGATGGAACTGCACAGAAGGCCCCAGTGGCGATGTCCACGTGCGGCCGCACATGGGCAGCTCTACCGAAGGCTCCAGCGACCGTGTCCACATGCAGCCGTTCCACCCATTTTGGCACACCTCTCACACGCTGCGTCGCCCCATAGGGAGCTCCACCAAAGGCCCCAGCGGCGGTGTCAACATGTCGCCTCCCCACCCATTCCGGCACACCGCTCACACGTTTCGTGGCCGCTCCGCCGAAGGGCCCAGTGGCGGTGTCCACATGGGTCTGCCCCACTCGATTCAGCACACCCCTCACACGTTTAGAGGCCCCTCGGAGAGCTCCACCGAAGGTCCCAGTGGCGGTGTCCACAGGAGGCCGTTCCACCCATTTCGACACGCTCCTCACACGTTGCGTGGCCCCATGGGGGGCTCCAACGAAGGCCCCAGTCGCGGTTTCCACAAGCGGCCGCCCCACATGATCCACCGAGAACGATACTCACAAGGACAGCATTCTCAACTGCATCAGTGCGGTCCTTCGCCAGGATACTTTGTCCGGAGGTTTGTCATCTAGCGTCTTGCCCCTGCCAAGGGAAACGCTCGTCCTTCCAGCTTCTCGCCCTATCTGCCACATGGGGCATCGAGCGCGCGATATCCCGCAAGGAGCGCTGCCGGGGCAGGCGCGACGGGCGACGAACTTGTGGGAGGCCAGCAGTTGGTGAGGGCGGGAGCTTTACAACATCGGATGCCCTCCTCCCTCGGGAGGAGGAGGAGGAGGAGGAGGAGGAGGAGGAGGAGGAGGAGGAGGAGGAGGAGGAGGAGGAGGAGGAGGAGGGGGAGGAGGAGGGGGGGGAGGCCAGCAGTTGGTGAGGCCCTCACATCGGGCGCTCCAGAAAGGCCTTCGCACTCGAGGATCGGAGGGGCTGTCATCCCCGCCTCGCCAGAAGGTGGCGGGAGCTGGCGGGAGCAAGCCGAGGCTATACCTCTGCCAGCGGAGGCCGTCGGAAGCGGCGGGCGTAGCATGTCTGCACGTCGCGGCGCGGCAGGGGCGGTCCGCACGCGCGTCGGGCAGGGCGGCGGAAGTGAGACGTGTGGTGGCAACCGTGTTGGGTTCAGGGTTTCCGGAGCCCGCCGTATGTGAGTGTGTGTGTGTGTGGATAGCTTGGGAATTTGCCACCCATCTGGATGTCGTGCTCGCGGAGCTGAGCCCAGGATCATCCCCCACCTGCTGCTGCAAATGGACGCTTGAGCCCAGCGAGACGGAGGGCGTTTCGGAGCGGACTCGACACTTTGGGAGGTCGCGTCAGCAGCCGTATCTGTTTGATGAGCACACCTGGTTCGGCACATACCTTCAGCTCTTCAGCAAAGCGTTCTCCCAAGAGGGGCTCACGTCTTCCAGAGAAGCTTGCGGCAATCTTGGAGAACCAGGAGCAAGCTGGTGGAGAAGCACTGGCCAATCTGAGTTGACGGGCAGCCCTTGGAGCCGGGGTCGCTGCCTGACTGCTCCAGGGCCCGTCGGGGGCATTGGGAGCCCGAGGTGCGCATGGCAAACTCCGGCCCCGTTTCACTCAAGGCCCTGGCAGGTCGATTCCGATCGGATCGACCCAATTCGATATCGACCATGGCTGGCCCGTTCAGATTCGACTCGGATATTCCGACGTTCCGATGCGGCTCGGGGCTTTCTCGGCCCCGTTCCGATGCTGCCGCACCCGACGCGCGTTCCGAGGCGATCCGACTTTCGGACTTGATGCTGGCCTCTCTCGTAGTGGGCTCTTGCCAGAATTCTCAAGGCGGATCCAGCTGTGGCCGCGAGGAGATTCCTGGAGGCCCAGAAAGGGCTCAGAAGCGCCCGAAGGCCTCATCGATTCTCAGACCACCCTTCGCGGCGAGTCGGGGGACACCAGAAGTCCCTGGGCCCTGAGAGGCAGCTGCGAGGCCCACAGCCTGTATGATAATCCGTCGATCTGGTGCGGTGCGATGGTGCTTGGCGCTGTTCTGCTTTAGTCGGGCGTGTCCCTCTACAGGAGGAATATTGAGAAAAAACCAGTCCAACAATAGTCTGGGGACGTTTTTTTTAATAGAGCTGTTGATTATTGTTTCAATATTTGTTGACTATGTCTTGTTTGTCCTCCAAAATCTTTTGTAGGAGGACATGCCATGCATCCTGGCGCAGCCGATTCGACTCGCCGATTCTACTTCGACTCCGTGCCGATGCGGCCCGAGCCGATGTGAGTTTCAATCCGATCCAGTGTCCTTACCGTCGGTCCTTGCTCGTCTGGTGCGATCACCCTCAGTCCGATTGCCGATTCGATGCCAGCCGACTCCGTTCGTCCTTAACGGCGCGTGGGGGGTCCCGCACGTCACGCCTTGGCCTTTCTTCCCCGTGGGCCTTATGGGTGGGACTCCCTGGGGGGCCACGAGGCGTGCGAGAGGTGTGCCAAAAGTGGGCGGGCGCCGCATGTGGACGCACCCACTGGGGCCTCAGGTGGAGCTCCGTATGGGGGAGGAGGAGGAGGAGGAGGAGGAGGAGGAGGAGGAGGAGGAGGAGGAGGAGGAGGGCCACGACGTGTGTGAGGGGTGCGCCGGCAGGGGCCGGAGGGCACGCTGTGGCCCAGCCCCGGGGGGGGCTTCGGTGGAGCTCCCTGTGGCCTTGTGGGGCCACGGAGCGTGTGAGGGTGCGTGCGTCAACGCAGGCGGGGGCACGCTGTGCACCACCCCTCCCCACCCTGGGGGCATCAAGTGGAGCCGCCTACTGGGGCCACGGATCGCGTGAGGGGTGTGCCAGAAGGGGGCGGGGCGGCCGCCTGTGGACATCGCCACTGGAGCTCGGTGGAGCTCCATGTGGGGCCACGAGACGTGTGAGGGGTGTGCCGGAATGGTAGGGGCTGCGGCCTGTGCCCCCCCGCCCCCCCCCCTCAATGTGGGATTCGGTGGAGCTTCCGATGGGACCAAGAAACGCGTGAGGGGTGTGCCGAGTTGGGCGGGGCGGCGGCATCCCCCAGGTGGAGCTCCTCATAGGGCCACGAGACGTGTGAGAAGTGTGCCAAAATGGGCGTGCCGAAGGCAGCGGGAGGGAGGTGAGACGCGGGGTGCCGCTTACGCATTCTAAACAGAATCGCAGGATGGTTTGGGAGAATGTTATGGTGATGATGATGATGATGATGATGATGATGATGATGATGATGATGATGATGATGATGTTGAGGATGATGATGATGATGATGATGATGATGATGATGATGATGACGACGATGATGGTGATGGTGATGGTGATGATGATGATGGTGGTGATGATGCTGATGATGATGGTGATGATGATGCTGATGATGGTGGTGATGGTGATTGTGATGGTGATGGTGATTGTGCTGATGCTGATGCTGCTGCTGCTGATGATGATCCTGCTGATGATCATGCTGATGATGCTGATGATGACGATTACGATGATGACGATGACGATGATGATGAGGACATGCGGAGGTGAGAAGCAGGAATGGGAGGAGGGAGGGGAGGCGGGATGGGAGGAGACGCGCCTTGCGGATCCTAGACGAGGGCCCAACTCGACGCAGGATGGCTGGGACGTACACCTGCATGGCGAGATGAGAGTCTCGACCCATTCCCCGGGACCAGCTACCCGTCCTGGTTCGTTGTCTGGCGGCCCCGAGGCCCGTCGAGGGCCTCTGGAGGCCGAAAGCTGCGAGAAGCCTTCTCGTCGCTAGTCGCGTCGAGGATCGAGGCTCGAGGAGCGAGGTACGAGGCCCACGGCCTCCTCGACCGCCTGGCCGCCTGGCTGCACGACGCGCTCCTGCGGTGGCTGCGCGCCGCCCACGGCCTCGAGGTGGTGGCGCCGCGGCACCTCCCGGCGGGAGAAGCCGAGGCCCCCCCTCGGGGGGGGGGGGGCACGGCAGTGCGGAGGAGGAGGAGGGGGAGGACGAGGGAGGAGGAGGAGGAGGAGGAGGAGGAGGAGGAGGAGGAGGAGGAGGAGGAGGAGGACGAGGACGAGGACGAGGACGAGGACGAGGGAGGAGGAGGAGGGGGAGGAGGAGGAGGAGGAGGAGGAGGAGGAGGTGAACGGGAGGAGGCATGAGGGCAGTGCTCTACAGTGGGGGCGCGCATCAAGAAAGCATGTGCTTTTCGTCCGGGTATCCCGGGTGTCTTCGCTCCTCGCGCTGCGCGGTGACTTCCCGCAGCCTGTGTGGAGGAGCTGCTGCGTCCAGGGTGCTCCAGGCTTCCCCTCGGGTGCACCTCGCGCACGGGTTCTCAGGGTTGGGTTACTTGCGCCGGATTATTGCGGCCGCGCCCGCACTGTATTCCCCGGTTGATGGTTTAAACACTGGTTAAATGGGGGTTTCCCCAGTCGACCGGGGAAATCAGCAGTGGCTAGAAGACCTCGCTCGTATCAGCCGTATTTGTGCGTCCAGAGCCCCTTTGGGGGGGCACGTAATGGGGGAGGCGAGAATCGAAGAAGAAAAATTGACATAGACATAAACGTTGGGCTCTCCGCGCGGATTTCTCGGATCTGCTCTGGGGCCCCCCCGGCGGCGCCTCCGGCGCCGCCCCTGGCCCGCCCCGCGCGCCAAGGAGGGGGGCCCGGCGCGGATCCAAGAAATCCGCGCGGAGCGCCAAAAGTTTATGCTTATGGCGTTTTTATTTGTTTTCGTCTTCTTCGCATTTTTATTCTCATTATTATTATTACTATGATGATGATTACTATTATTATCAGTATTATGATGATTAATATTATTAGTATTAGTATGATTCGTATTCTTATTATTTTAATTATAATTGTTATTACTATGCTTAGCATCCTGATTATCATTAGTATTATCATCATTATTATCATTAGTATTATTAGTCGTATTATTATGTTTATGTTCCTTGTTCTTCTTCTTCTTCTTCTTCTTCTTCTCTCCTTCTTCTAGATAAAAGGGGGGGGCAGCGAGGGCTGCAGAGAAGGGGCCCCTACAAGGCCCCTGAAGGGGGGGCCCCTGACGGGCCCCCCAAGGGGGGCCCGAGAAGGACCCGAAAGAGGCCAGCCCTTCTCCCCCCCCCCCAGCCTACGTCCTCCCCTTGGCATCGCTCGGACGTGTGCATGTTTCCTTCGGCGAGGACCATCGAGGAGCATCCTTGATCATCTGGCGACAAAAACCACGCACGAAACCGAAAAAAACACAGGGAATGGACGTCCGAGCGATGGCCAGTCCCCCCTATCCCGCCCATTCATTCACGCCCCCCCCCCCTTATCCTATCGCCCCACCACTTATTCACGCCCAACCCCCCCTGTCCTCCTTCCTCCTGCCCTCCCGCCGCTTCCTCGAGATTCGGGGTTCGAGGCTCGAGGTGTGGGCTCGATGTGGAGCCCATCCTCCGTCATCTCTTTCTTTGTCGTCCTCCACTTCAGGTTGCCCTCACACATAGTGTTGTTTTCCTGCGAAGCAATAACCCAGATCATGCCTGCGTCCGACGACCTTGTGCCCTCCCGCCGCCCCCATCGAGGCTCGATGCTCGAGGCTCGAAGTTCAGCCTCGATGCGGCTCAATGTGGAGCCCGATGTTCTCCACGCCGACGGCGCCGATGCATCGCCCACGTCGCCGATGCATCGCCGATGCATCCACGATTCGGCGCGATCCTCCGACACCACCTGCTCCGACCCCATCTGGAAGGGCCCCCTGTATCAGAAACTGGCCTTGCAGCAGATGCCCCATTGAAGTTTCGGGTCCGCCGGTGGCCTTGGGGCCACCCGCAGACGCACTGCAACGCCTCATCATGTTCAAAGGTTGTCGGCAAACCTGCCACTATCAAGGGAGGAAAAACCACCCAGACCAGACAATTGGCGTTTACTAAGCGGCCCTGGGCGTTTACTAAACAGACCTGCCTTGTTTGATTCCTTCTTTGGGCACGTTCACTAAATGGCTTCGCGTATGGGGGTGGTTATTATCGGGATGGATTTTCTGCCCTCTACACTAGATGTCTCATAGCGGGATTCCTTACCGTATGTGCCTACCGTGCGACCCCTAACGTCGTGATTTCCTCGCAGCTTAGGCACCCGGAGGTGTAGACCCATTCGCCGGGACCGGCATCTCATCATGAGTCATTGCTCGGAGGCCCCGATGCTTGGTAAGGGACCTGGATGCGGAAAGATGCCAAGAGCCTCCCGCCGCGATGTTTGCACGGCGCCGATCGGCGCGGCTGGCCCCCCCCCCTGCCGCCCAGTCCCAGTAGACCTGATCTTGCCTGCTCTTGGCGGCTGCTTGGTCAGGGCCCCCCAGTGGTGCCTGCGCGACTGCCAGAGCCAGATAGAGGAAGGTTCGGCCAAGTTCGACCACCCGTAAGAGCGACCCTTCGCCGGAGTGACCTTTGGTGCGGGCCCGTTGGGGCCCCCGGGCCGCCGAGCGCGACTGCGATAGCAGCGTCTCGCGCGCTCGCTCTTTTGGTCCCCCCGCGGCCCCCCCAAAAGCCGCGCACCAGAGGCCACTCTTACCCAGGGTCACTCTTGCGTGCAGCCGACAGGTGCGCGCCGGAAGAGAGTGGGGGGCCGTCTGCGCCGGCACGGGCGCGTGAGCTGCCCGCGCAAGTGAGGCCGCGCGTGAGCACCACCCTCTTTCATCTGCGCGGCGCGCCGCGCGCGCGGGCCGCGCGGGCCGCGGCGCAACGTCGCTGCGCTTTCTCGCGTGAGACCCCTTTTCGTCTCGTCGCTCAAACGTCGAAATCCAGAGTCAAGTACACGCCGGTCCAAGGTCGTCAGAAGTAGGTGTTTCTGGATCCCCCCAAACCCAATCTACTTCCAGCGCCTTCCCACTTCAAGAGACGATATGTGTGCTGGTTGTTGCTTGCCGTTCTTCGGGCGGGCCCAACCCCAATATACGTGTTGTCCGCCTTCCTCCTTCATGTTTCTACCTATTCCTTCTGACCGACGTGCAACGGGAAAACGTAAGACTCGAGTAAGCCGGAACTCGGTTTGCCGACGTTTTTTGACGAGCGCGTCCTGGTTTTTGACGGCCCGATGTTCGTGGGGTGTTTGCCGCGGCAGCTCGCGCCAAATTTCAGATTGGGCCTCGTCGTGTTCATGATGGCCCAGTCAGGCCAACCCGAGTCCCCCTTACACGTGTCTTACGTACGTCTCCCCGAGTGTAACGCTCGCTGACGTGCGACGGTATCATCTCGGCGTCACCCCAGCATACTACTACTACTACTACTACTACTACTACTACTACTACTACTACTACTACTACTACTACTACTACTACTACTACTACTACTACTACTACTACTACTACTACTACTACTACTACTACTACTACTACTACTACTACTACTACTACTACTACTACGACTACTCCTAATACTACTACTACTATTACTACTACTACTGCTGCTGCTGCTGCTACTACTACTACTACTACTAC